TCCTGGTTCTGTTCTCAGAGATCGCTCCTGGCAATGCTCAGGTTCCAGAATGCCTGAGTGTTGGGGATTGAACCAGGGTCAGCCAGATGCAAGGCAAGTTCCTTAATGTCTGGACTATTTCTCTGGTCCCAAGTAAAGTCATTTTAAAACTGTTTTTCTCCTGTGGATAACAGGTAAAAAAAAAATTGTCAGCTCATTTTCATTCTTCCGCAAACAAGAGGCAGTTAAGGACAAGTACCACTTACTACTCCCACACACGGCCCAGCCAAAACTGTAATCACCCACTTAGAGGGAGAGAGGGAAGCAAGTTTTTAAGCAGGGTATGTGCCTTTGAGGACATCTCTGGCTGGCTGTGAGACTGATAAAAAAAAAAAAAAAGATCTGGGATAAAGTAATCTTTCAGTTCCTGCCCTCTGCCAGCAATACAAAACATGTAGGGAGCTTGAGAAGTCTGAGAAGGAATGATGGGGAGAAGGTGTGGAAAGGGGGGTGTGGGGCATGGGGTGCTCACCGAGACCCAAGAATGCTGTAGATAATGAGCTGAACCATGGAAAAGGGGGCTTATATATAGTGTCTTGGTGGGGGGAGGGGATAAGTGCCCACGAGCAAAAAACCTCCCTGGTGCTCTTCCCCCACCCAAATGTACCAAGAATGATTTTAGCACATAAACAAAAATAGTGACTCATCATCAGTGCTCATCATCTGCAGAAGGAAAGATTTTATACTGAAAGGTTTTCGGGGCGGGGGGGAGCAGGGGAGAGGGTGGGAGAACTAGAAGGCTGTTTGCTGTTCAGTTCTTTTCATCCTAATCACTCTCCATTTCCCAAGGTAAAAAAATCCAAGGAAACAACAAAGAACAGGCCTCATCATCAACTGAACCTTGGCCAGCAAGCAACTCCCAGCACTAGGCCAGCAGCCCCAAGCAGCTCTCGCCTGGCCTCTGCTTGTTTTCTTTCTTTCTTTCTTTCTTTCTTTCTTTCTTTCTTTCTTTCTTCTTTCTTTCTTTCTTTCTTATCACACCTGGTGATGCACAGGGGTTACTCCTGGCTCTGCACTCAGGAGTTACTCCTGACTGTGCTCAGGGGACCATATGGGATGCTGGGAATTGAACCCGGGTCATCCGCTTGCAAGGAAACCGCCCTACATATGGTGCTATCTATCCAGCCCCCACTGCTAAGGGCCATACTGAATGCCCAGACTTTGGCTTTGCCACCTTGACCAGGATCCTGCCCCTGGCAGTCTAGATGTGAATTATATGGTTTCATGAATGAAAAAGTCAGTTTTTCCTAGAGATGCTGACTTTGGTGAGAATTCCCTACTCCAGCTCTGCTCCTGAGGAACCCATAGTCACTTGAAGGGCATCCTTGTCCCCTCCAAAGTGAGTATTAGGTCTGCAGGTCTGATCTCTCCCCCTTAGGCCTGGTCAACGCCTCTTCAGACTGTCTTTGTTGCATGCTTTCACCCATTCTTTGAAATGGGGGTTTCACTAAGGGGCAGGAAGTGGAGTAGAAGAGTCCCGGCCTACTGCACTGGAAAGACCCCTCCCCATGCCTATCTTGGGGTGTACTTGTCAGTGTATACCCCAAGTGCACACTGTTGGGTACACTTGGAGCTTAGAGTCTTCAAGGAATAAAGGAGGTCATAAGACTGAGCTGTGACTCTTCCTGGGTCTCAACAGATGGGAGACTGAGTCAAGGAAGGAACCCATTAAAGTCGAAGGTGGGAGCAGCCTTACAGGAGATAGGACATTTGCCTTGCACATGGCTAGGTTTGATTCTCGGCACCACATATAGTCCACTGAACACTGCCAGGAGTGATCCCTGATCTTACAACCAGGAATAAGCCCTGAGCTTAGACAGGCGCAGCCCTCAAACAACAACAGCACAGAAGCCCTGCCAGTCTATCAGATACAGTTGGGAGCGGGAGGCAGCCCAGCCTGGCCTCGGGTTCTCCAGGGTCTATCTGTGCAAGAGAAAGGTCGGCGGTTCTACACTGGTTTAGGATTCTAAATATAAGGCCAACTGTGAACCAGTCCTCCTGATATGGATGGAAGTTTGCCACAAGTGAAAGGGCGAGGGGAGGGTGGTTAGGATCGAGAAGGGACCAGTAAGTAGCTGGAAATGATCACTCTGGACAAGAACTGAGTGCTGAAAGCAGGTAGAGATGTGCACGATAACCTCTTAGTACCTGTATTGCGAAACATAATGCCCAGAAGGAAAGAGAGAAAGAGAGAGAGAGAGAGAGAGAGAGAGAGAGAGAGAGAGAGAGATTGCCATAAAAGCAGCCGGGGTGGGGCAGGCTGAAGGTAAACTGGGACATTGTTGGTGGCAAACGTACACTGGTGAAGGAACGGGTATTGGAAACCTAATCACGAACAACCTTGTAACTGTATATCTCACGGTGATTCAATAAAATACATACATAAATAAAATAAGGCCCAAGGGGGTTGGAGTGATAGTACAGCAGATAGGTCATTTGCTTTGCACACAGCTGACCCGGGTGAGTAACCCCTGTGCATCGCTGGGTGTGACCCAAAAAGAAATAAAAATAAAGTCCAAAGGGTCCCACCCCCTAGCTCCTTCAGGAGTGGTAGGATTAAACAGAAGTTAGTCTCCTTCAGACTAGAGAGATTGTACCTGGAGAAAGCACCCGCCTTATGTCTCCCCAACCTGGCTCAGATCCCCGGCACCATGTGAGTTCCCGCAGTCAGGCCTCCCTCTCTCCCCGGAACAGAGCCAGGAACAGCCACTGAACACAGCAGGCTATGGCTCAAGCCCCCCTTCTCACCCCTCAAGAAATGATGTCGTTTTCTTTCCTGCAGGACTCCTTGGAGTCCACACTAATGATGCTGTGTGTCATGAGACTCCAAGCAAAAGTTACAGTGTCTTGTTCTTCCCAAGGACCGGGCACGGAATTCTTTGGAGGTGAAGTATCTCAAGATCATCTGCTTCCTGTCAGTGAAGCCTTGGGTTTTGAAGTCAGATAAATAAGTTCGAATTCTTCTCTCAGGAATTCCTGCGCTCCAAGCCAGGGTAGTCCCTGGCACCACCAGGTGTAGGTCAAATCAAAACCAATATCAACTAATCAATTTAAAAGTTTAAGGGAACTCACTGTTAACAAAAGAGAGGATAATACAAGAGATAAGTACTAGAGATAAGTACAGGAGCTAAGGCACTTGCCTTTCATTCGACCAACTGTGATTCAATCCCTGGCACTGCAAATAGTTCTCCAACCATTGCCAGGGCTAACTCATGAGCACAGAGCCACGAGGAACTCCTGAGCACGGCAGAGTGTGACCACAAACCAAGAAAAAAGAAAGACAAACAGGGTTGCTCATGTACAGCTTATAGATTTGTTCTGAGAACCTATAAGGAACTCGGTGCCGGAGAAAGTCCTGGTGAACAGAAAGCAGTTCATTGTTTGTGTGGTGCTGGGGGCGGAACCCAGGGCATCACTCATGCAAGTACCATCTACCACTGAGCCACAATCCCTGAATCAGCACTTCCTCTTACCTCTTACCTCTGCATAAACAGCAGCCTGCACAGATACTGTGAATGAAGAGAAATGGTGGAAGAAAATCTATCTCCAAGAGATCGAATGTAGCCTGCCCACAGGGCAGAGTCTGGCAAACTCCCCGTGGCGTACCCAATATGCCAAATACCAGTAACAATGATGGGTCTCATTCTCCTAAAGAGCCTTGAATATAATCTCAGGGCTAGGATGAAAGAGACGTTACTGGGGCCTGCTCGAGGCAATCGACGAATAACAGGATGATGAATGAATGAATGAATGAATGAAAGAGATGAAATCCTTGGACTGTGGACAGGCTCTGGGAGTACCAAGAAGTGCCAAGGTCTGAAAGAATGTTATACCAGTAATTCAATAATTCTTCCCTGGAGCGGGGTTGGGGAGATGGGAGGGAGAACATATCTAGCTGAGCTCAGGGATCACTCGCGAAATATTTGTGGGACCATATGTGGATCAAAGCTGGGTTAGTTGCATGTAAGGCAAGTGTTTTACCTACTCTACTATCTCTCCAGCCCCATAAACCGGTATTTCTTCTTTTTTTTTTTTTTTGCTTTTTTTTTTGGGTCACACCCAGCAATGCTCAGGGATCATTCCTGGCTCATGCACCCAAGAATTACTCCTGGCGGTGCTCAGGGGACCACATGGGATGCTGGGAATTGAACCCAGGTCGGCCGAGTGCAAGGCAAACGCCCTACCCACTGTGCTATTGCTCCAGCCCCTAAACCGGCATTTCTAATAAACAGCTAAAAGCAGTGCTTTTAAAAGATGTGCTCTAATTCTATTATTTAAATCACTCATTCCAGCAAAGCTTCCAAGGTGGTACCATCAGCCCCACATGACAGAGAGAACCTCGGACTCAGAAATCCTGTCTCCTCATCCATAGCACAATAGGTCAAGGCAGAAATGAAGTCCCTCTCTGCTTAATCATCAAAGAATAAAAATGACTGCCCACCGAAGATTAGTTACCTCTTGGCTTCAAGATCCAGTCTGACTAATGTAAGCGTGTGAGCACTAAAGAGGATTCTTCGACATTGCCAAGAACCATTTCCTTTTCTTGGAGATCGATGGGAACACTGCTACTCAGAGATAACAAGGGCCCAAGGGAGCCGAGGGAACACGAAGTTGTGTACTGAGGCTGGGAAACGCCTCGGGAAGGGCCTAGAACAGTATGTGCAAGTATCTCTTGCCTCATTTTCCAGATCTCAGACAAGTAACCAAGTGACAGCGTTTTCCCTAACGGCATTTAAAATAGGCTACAACCCTTCAAATTGCAAAGTCATCTGTATACCCTTTGAAGATAACGACAACTGGTTTGCAATCAGCATCTCTGAGAAAAGTCATTCCAAGAAGCTGCAGAACAATAAAATGAACTCCGGAGGAGCCCAATTTTCCCGGCCACTGGCTCCAGAGTAGTTGTTCAGAATGTAGACAACAGCTGGCCTGGAAAATCTAAGAACAAACAAACTTATTACCTGCTTCTTCTGCTTGAGCAATGCCGAGGAGTTTCCTCACCCCAGATGTTTCAAGAGAATCAATAAGGGGGCGGGTGGGGGGGGGGGGGGTAGCGGGAGAAAACCCGTCTTTAGAATGGATACAGAGATCTGAAAAAAAAAAAGAAACAAAAAAAAAAGAAAAAACGAGGTTCAAGTCCTCACACACACACTCTCCAGCACATGTCTGCAATTCTCTGAAGGGACTCCTCTTGCTGAAATAAATCAGGTAACAAATACACACGCGTACACAAAGAATTAAGTGGAACAGGCAAGACACAGCTGCTTTGCCCTTCGCCTAGAGGGAGCGCCCAGAGCTGTGGATTCAGAAGAAACTGGGCGCCCAATGAGTGCGAGCTGCTCCACCCAGCCCTGAGACAGACTCCGAGAAGGGAAGGGCTCAAGTAATGGGCTGTGGTCACGTGACTGTGCCCAAGGGGACCAGGCTCTGGAGAGGTGGAAGCAGGCCGCTGGCTCTTGCCATAAATCATCGCTGCTGTACCAAATTCAAAATGATGCTGGGAAATCAGAGCAGAAATACACTCCGTGGCAGATGTTTGAGTCAACTGCAGATGATTTTAGGAACCGTTACAGAGACCTGGGTTCCTTGAAGAGAAGGCAGGGGGCGCACTGGACGTACATTCCCCTCCCCCCCCCCCCCCCCCCCCCAGGAGGGCTCGCAAAGGCCTGTGTGTCTGTGAGCAGCTGCCGGCGCTGAGCGTTTATTTGGGCATGTTTTGTCCTCTCATCCTGCCCTCGGTGGCCTGTTGGGGACTCCCCTGCCTTCATGGACAGAAAGGAAAGATTGCTGAGCTTGAGAAGGAAGACGCATGTGAAAAATTCAAGTGTCCCATTAGTACTGGGTGCACCCAGTGGGTGTTCCTCTTCCAGAATGCCATGTGATGGCTGCTGACGGTCAAAAATTTCCCACCCCAGCCCTCGAGCTAGCTACACAGCATGTTTCCAGCGTGTTTCCAGCAGGCTGTCCTCGGGACGATCAAGATTGGCCTTGAGGATCCCAGTCACCATCCATTCACCAGAGGTGCCCCGTGGCCAAGGCCTTTCTGCTACCAAGAGCTTCCGCAGAGCTGAACCTGGTTGGCTCTTGAAGCTAATGGAGCTACTTTAGAAATAAAAGGAAAGGCTTCTGAATTCCTATTAGCATACTAAATATTACCAGAGGGCTCATTATGAGGCGATACAACTGTGCAGGTTTCCACGGCAAGAACTCCAGGACCAGGACCTGATGAGGCGGCTGTGACACAGTGTAAATGATGGCGTAATTACCCAGGATGCCATGTGAAGAGTGGACAATGCCTCTGAGTGTCCAGCCAGATGCCTATTCAGTCATGATATAATGGCTATGCCTAGATACAGTTTTTCAAATGTCTCCTCCTCTACGTGAAGCGTTTTCTAAACCACCAAACAGGACTTAATCACTCTGCCACTGGCTCTCAGAGACCTGTGTTCAATTATCACTACTTTCCGAGTGTGCTGTAACTGTCCTCTTAGAGTAAAATCCTGAAGGGAAAAGACCCCTTTATCCTTCTTGGCATCCCCAGCACCAAATGCACAGGGTATTCCCCAGAGATTTGTTCATCACAGAAAGGAGAGGAGAGAAAGAACTTGTCTCTAGTAGTGATTTTAATAGCCAGCTTCCACACCATACATTCAATTGACTCTTCTTGGGATTTGTTTAAAATTTCGTATGTGTTCAAAGTGAAAATTTTCACTGTACTTATTTTTTTTTCACTTCTCAAAGAATACCAAAATGTTATGTTGAGCAGCAGAGTACTAAAGTCAGCCTCCAATTGTGAAATGCATCTGCATTAATGTGACTAAATTATAATAATGATAAAATATTGAACACTTACCCAGTGCTGTAGGTACTCGTTAATTTTACATGGCCTAATCTGATTTAATACACACACACTCCATCTAAGAGGTATATACTATTATTACCCCTTCTTACACACATTACAACTACAGCCCAAAGTCAAATAGCCAGTGAATGACAGAAATGGGACTTGAACCCAGGTACTTCGACCCTATAGCCCCTATTTAGAGTTGCTACTGCTTTAGTACCATGTGTTGGCAAAATGAAGGTTCTTTTCTCCTCTCAATTGCTCTCTGCTTTCCTTGACCTGAGCAGGGACGCCTTCTCCCAGTCTGAAAAGAGAGAAAAGAATGCACAAAATGTTACCACTTTGAAAGCTCCTCATTAACAGATTTGTCCCCTTTAGAGTCAAATGGGTCCATTTCTTTCTCAATAGGAGAGGTGAGAGTTCAACTTGGCTCTGGCAAAGATCATGACAATGTCTAATCAGCCTTAGCCAAGACACCTTTGTGCTTGTCCACTGATTGAACACATTTCTATGGAGCACCTCCTGTGGACCCATTTCTATTGACCATCTCCCATATGGCTGGCACTCTGGTAAGGGACAGGGACATAAAAGAAGAACAAAGTGGCCCTGACTAAGCGCGGCAAACACAGCAGTGGCTAAAAATTCAAATAGAGTGTCTAATTAAAAGATTGCTCTCCTCGATCAGAACATAAGCTCCGGGTAGCTAAAGCAATGCCAGGCATACACGATTTACTGCTCCAAAACTGAGAGCAAATCTTAGATGGGAACAGGTAAGGAACTGTAAAACAAGCCCTAGTCCAGAGAGAGGAAAGAGAGTAGGCTTTCTCAAAAGGATGCTCACAGACTAGAACTGCAACTTCATAGTCAGAGTTGGGCGGTAAGGATGAGAAACGGAGGGAGCTCTGAGCGACTTGCATGTTTTCACAGCACTTAACCAGGATGTCAAGTGGGAGAGGTGAACTCAAGATCAACATGAACCAAGTTCCTAATAATAATACTGCAAGTCAAGGTCCCAGAGGCTGGAGAAATGTCGTTTGTTCAGACGAAAAAAAATGGTGGCCTCTCTGCTTCTGCAGGCAGAGCTCATTCCGCCTACCATCTGCGGGCTCCCCACCCCTCTCACCTTCAGGGCTTGCTTTCCCCTTCCAAATCAACTTCTTGCTTGCAAATGCTCATTTCAGGGTCTGGTGCTGAGGGAACAAACAACTCTCTATTAGTCTTTGGTAGGTGGCGACTCTGGGAAGCAGGGGGATGCAGAGGTCTCTGGCACAGTGTGACTGGGCATCGCGGGGCAAGCCTCTCCTAGCCCCCATGCTCCTAGAGCTGACCACGTTTCCAGTTTCCACCATGGAAGAGCAAGTCTAAGGGGGCAGCCTCCTGTCGGTCACAGTGACACACAGACGAATAGGCTAGACTGTAGACAAAGCAGCCAGATGTGGAAGCCGCACAAGCAACAGAGCGTGCCTATCTGGTGGTGAGCCCCTCCTCTCTCTGGCCACGCGTGATCCCTGACACTGTTGTGCTCAATAGCATCAAAGTGGGGAAGCTCAGACAAGGCCACTCACCAAAGGCCTCTCAGCAACTTCCAGCTAGCTTCCCACTCTGCCTTCTGGAAGCTGCCATGTGGGAGCGGTTCCCAGGGCAAAGGATTAAGGAAAATCTCTGGACAAAAGCCAGCAAGGAGCTGAGGTCCTCAGTCAGACAGAGCCCAGGGAACTGAGCCCTGCCAGCAAGTGTGAGAGCGTCGCACTTGCTACTATCACCTGCCTCTGTCAGGCCTTCAGATGACTGCCACCCAGCCAGCACCTTGATAGCAGCAGCCAGTGAGAGAGCCCGAAACTGAGGATCCAGGGCAGCCTGGAGAAACAGAAATTCATGCAAAAACTTGCACACAGGTTCCTATGGTGGAATACTGAAGACAGTCAATGGCTCACTGGGGGTAAGGGATATCCAACTACAGGATGTCCAAGCCAGGAAATACTGGGTTGAGGAGAGACAATAGGGACTAGGGGTGCAGGGAAACGTACGTGGCCGGTTTGATCCCAGACATTATATGCCAACCCTCCACTCAACATTGCCTGCTGTAGCCTCAGAGTTCCCCAACCACCACCTGAGTCCCCCTGGTGGTCCCTCATACTGTGGGACCTTACGTTGAATGGTCTTGCCTGGTTGGCTGAATTTAGCTGAGAGGGACCCCCCAGACCACCTGAGCACTGTGTTGGAGCCCCACAAACCAAACCAAAGTCAACACACAATGGAATACTACTTAGCAATAATTAAAAAAAAACTCGTGATACCCATAACCAGGATGAATCCCAAAGACACTACAGTGAGGGAACGAAGGCAGACATCAAAGACTGTCCACAGTTCCACGACTCTCTCCAGAAGAGCAGTGGTTGCCAGGGTACACGGACAGCAAGGGCACGAGAAGAGCAAAAAGGGGACTTTGAGGAATGCTACTCTGCATCTCGGGTTCCCTAGATCTCTACTCAGATGCATGCAGTCTGGGTGTGGTCACACTACTCCATCTACAGAACTGTACGCTGCGAAATCGATTTTACTATTCACTAACCTAAAAGTGTTTTCAGTTCACAGAGCTGGCTCTGGTTTGGTGCATTCGGGCCTCGAGAGAATCAAGTCTCCAGCCTGACTTTGATTGCCAGGGCCCTTTCTAATCACAGCCAGGAGCAACTCTGTTACCAGCAATGAGTTGTGAGATCATACTTCCCTTTGTTGTCACAATTAATTTATCCCCGACGAAACTGAAAACAAAACAAAACAAAAAACAGAGAGCCCAAGCAGAAAACACACCCCATCTCTTCTTCACTTATCAGATACTTTGTGAGAATGTTCTGGTTCTGGGGCAGGGATATAAAGATGAAGAAATTCAGATTCACTTCCCCACCAAATTCACAGGCTACTGCAGGATGTGGGCCTGCTCACAAATAAGTCTAGAGGTTCAGGTTTGATGACGTGCCTGTTTGCTATTGGGAAACGCATTCAGCCAAAGAGAGTTGAGAAATGCTTCCCAGAGGGGCCAGAGACATAGCACAGCAGGTCAGGCACTTGCCTTGCATGCAGTCAATTGAGGTTCGATCCCCAGCGTCCCATACGTTGCCCTGAGTACTGCTAGGAATGATTCCTGAGTACAGAGCCAGGAGTAACCCCTGAGCATGGCCAGGTGTGCGACCCCCTGCCCATCCCTAAAAGAAAGAAAGAAAGGAAAGAAAGAAAAGAAGGAAGGAAGGAAGAAAGGAAGGAAGGAAGGAAGGAAGGAAGGAAGGAAGGAAAGAAAGAAAGAAAGAAAGAAAGAAAGAAAGAAAGAAAGAAAGAAATTCTTCCTAAAGTTTAAAGGGTGGGAAACTCCACTCTAGGGAATACGGAGCTTGCATTCATGTTTGAGTAACTTTTCCAGCCACAGGGACACAATGTGGCTGCACATTGGAGACTAAGCATGTGAACCTGGGGGGCGGGGGTAGCTTGGTCTGATCTTTCTAATAAACCATAACTAAGACTTGACCCAGCTTCAGGTGACAAATTGAACTGCAACTGGAATTTAATTACAAATTGAATTGCAGTTTCAAGTGCTTGCATGGGTGGAGGCGGATAAAATAAATGAATAAAGCATACTGGGTGGGAATGATGGGCCAGTCTAGAGAGGTTTTGTCTAAATGAGGCAGCTGCTACTTACTGTTCGCTCCCTTTTAGGCTGCCGTCCAGAAATCCTGGTTTAGTGTTGCCCAGTGTAAATGCTTCAAGAGAAGCTGAACATATTTTTATGTAAAATCGCCTCATTTTTAAATGTCAGTATGAGTATATCTCGGCAAATTTAAGCTGCCATCAGTTATAATGTACCTTAAACCCAATGGCATCCTAAATTGAGAGCTTACAGAATTGAAAGCTCATCTTAATTTGAGAGCATTTATATCCCAATAAGAAAAGAAAGTCACCAGTCAAACTATGGCACTCCAATGATTTGAAGACACATTCCAATTTCAAGGGTGTTAAAATGTGGGGGAAAAAATGTTCATCTTATAATCAATGAAATATAGTATTTCTCATTTGCTCAAAATACTTATGGACCTCATGGATTCAGTGAGGGCACCAGGGTTGCAGACTGTTCAAGTTGATGAGGAGAGTGAGATTCACAAGCTTTAGGAAGACAACCACAGGAAGAGCATCAGAAAAATGCCCCAGCCATGTGGGAGCAAGATGTCAAGGGTTCAGTGATAGCAGTGACAGTGGGATTGGAGAGAAGGGTCAAGCTCACAGGTTCCAGACTAGATGTGAGGAATGAAGAAAATGGAGGCACAAGAATGCTACATTTGGAGTAGTAGAAGGACTCAGTCATGCCTCCACATAATGGTATTTTATTCAAATGCTGATGTCATCCGTCAAGTGTCCCCCAATTCCTCAGTGATTTGGAAAGACAAAATATCCAGGGAATCTTCTAGAGTAAGAAAGCAAGAGAAGACAAAGCAGGATATGAGAAGGAAGGAGGAACAAACAATAGGGACTGAAAATGGAATAATCTAGATAGGAAGAGACCTGAAAGAAAGAAGTATCTATAAACCAAGAGAGATCAATACCATCCTATAGTCCAATATATCTTTAGCCATAACTGCTGCATACAAGGCATTTACCCTGGCAACATACAATTCAGAACTGCAGAGTTATGGGTACTTTGCATGAATTCCAAATGGGCTTATCAGAACTGCTCCTTATTTAGAGAGTTGGGATATTTTTAAATATTGCCACAATCTGTTGCTTTAGCTTGTGTGTGCTTGCATTTTGCATGTGTCTTAGTTTGACGTCTGTCGCGAGTCGATGGCAGAGCACTGCTGCTTCTTTTCCTCCTGTAGAAGCTAGAATTCTGCCATTCCAAGACAAGAGTCAACTAAACAATGCACATGGATGCAATTCTCTGTCATGCCAAAGTATTAGAAATTGGACAAAACTGATCTAGGCACTCAAATATGATACATTCCATACATAAACCATAAAGTTTATGGGAACTGGCCAAACTACTAAAGAGAGGAAGAAGGTTAATTTCCAATGAAGTGGTTCCATGCCTACTCAGATTTCACTCAATTAATCTACTCATCTGAGAGATGGCTCAACAGACTGAATACATACTTGGCATGTAAGAGACCCAGATGCTACTCCCAACATCACATGCCTGCCCCCATCCACACCTCCAAGCACTACCAGGAACAACTCCCTAGCACTGTGCTGGGAGTAGTCCCTGAGCATCACTGGGTGTGGCCCTAAAGCCAAAATAGGAAGAAAGAATGGATCTTACCCTTCCCTCTTTTGTCTTTTATACAGTGTTAATAAACTCCTAGAGCTTTATTCTCCTGGTTGATGAATCTTTCAGCCTGACCAGCAGGCTCAAAGCACACTCCATCATTACACTTAGGTATTATTTAAAGAGGATTCCTTAGACTTATCTAGAATCTTCCAGAAGATTCTAGAACTATTCTTTAATGGGTTACCTTGGCAACTCCACAATGTCAGTCATAGAGATGATAGTACCTGCCAACAGAGTAGGAACAATAGAACTTAGGTGCCGGCATCAATTCCTGCTTATTGGGAAGACTGTTTCTGGGTTTTTTGAGTTTCTTTATGTCACCATTGCCTCCCTATCAACCATTTTTGGGTTCATAGACACAACAAACAAACTACACTTGGTTTCTCAAAGGAAAATTGAAACTATGAGCTATAATTAGACCTGGGGAAAAGGCATGTCTTCCTTTACAAAACTATTGCCCTTGATTGCCTGAGATGACTAAGAGTTTATGGTGAGATTTTGGAAAAAGCTTTTAGAGAATTTCCCTTAAGAGCACAGTTTTAATTTGGTTTCATTCATATATTCAACAACTATTAGCTAAACATTTACTGTGTACAAGGCACTATTCTAGACATACCAGTAGAAGATATGCCAGCCGAAAGATTTGACACTGTCCCATCTCTCATTACATTTCTAACCTTGTTGGAGAAGCAAACACCAATAAAATGATCACAAAAGGAAACGGAGGACCAAGAAGAAAGAATAGGGGTTAAGGCACTTGCCTTGCATGAATCTGACTTGGGTTCAATCTCCCCTGCACTACATATGGTCCTCAGAGTCCCTTGCCAGGAGTAATCCCTGGGCACTTCCAGGTGTGACCCCCCCAAAACAAACGTTTTGTTGTTATTTTTCTTAGTAAATGGAAAGGGTCAGGCAGATAGATTAAAGTGTGAGGCTTATCTCTAGCATGGGTGATAACCTGAGTTTGATCCCTAGCTTTGCAGTCATCCCCATACTATGCAAAGGGGACAAGGCCAAGACTCGCTGGGAGTGATCCCAGGGTCCAGCTGTCCTGCTGCTACCCCTATTTTAGAAAACCTAAAATTCAATGTGCAGGAGCTGGAGAGAGAGTCCAGTGGGCAGCGAGATTTACCTTGCATGTAGCAAACCCAGGTTTGATCCCCCAACACCCCATGTAGTTCCCAATGCCCAAGTGGTGCCAAAACTTGCTTCCGGTGGCACTGCTCAAAACACAGGCCCACAACTCTAATTCTTCTTATCCCTCTTACCACTCTCTTATGGCTTTGATAGTCAAACTCTATTCTCCAGTGTTCCTATGAAGGTTATGGTCAAGTGGGCAGTATCACCAGAATAAAAAGTTGGAAAGTTTTGTTTTGTTTGGTTTGGTTTGGTTTGGTTTGGTTTGGTTTAGTTTATGGGGCCACATCTGGTGGTGCTCAGGACTTCCTCCTGGCTGTGTGCTCAGGGATCACTCCTGGAGAGGCTCAAGGACCATATTCTGTGATAGGGATAGAATGGGGATTGGCCACATGTAAAACAATTGCCTTAACCCTTCTACTACCTTTCTGGCCCTTCACCAGAAAAGAAGATGCTGCGTCTGTAATCGAAACACTATAATAAGCTAAAGATTTCCAATATTTGAAGTGACAGAGAGAAATAACAGGTCTAAGCAAACTTAGGCATCAATAACGTAGTGACACTTGTCACTATGCGACGAGATGTGTGCTGAAAGTAGACTATAGACCAAACACGATGGCCACTCAATACCTCTATTGCAAACCACAATACCCTAAAGGAAAGCGAAAGCAAAAGGGAATGCCCTGCCACAGAGGTGGGGGGGATGGGGAGGGGGTGGGAGGGCTACTGGGTTCATTGGTGGTGAAGAATGGGCACTGATGGAGGGATGGGTACTTGATCATTGTATAACTGAAACCCAAGCATGAAAGTTTGTAAGTCTACAACTGTACCTCATGGTGTTTCACTAATAAAAATAAATGAATAATAAAATAATGTAGTGAAACTTCACTAAATTACTCCAGAGAGACTGGAGGCAGTGAAAAGTCTTAAGCAGTAAAAAGTCTCTGGCAAAACAGTTTGAAGGAAATAATAGAAACTAATCTGATATAACTAAGACAGATAATTTCTCTAATGACTCTTCCGGTCCACTTCCGATTTTGAATGAAGCCCTGAATTCTCTAATGCTTGGGCTAAAGCTAACCTCTTAGGTGCCTCTTTCTTACTCCTGAGCACAGTTTCTGCTAACAAATCAAGCTCCTCTCACTCAGCTGCACGAACAGTTGGTGTGAGAACCTCCATTTCTCTGTATTGTTCTTCCTGAGAATGTGGCAAAGTGAAAGGCCTGGAGCAAAACAATGTCATTTTTTTTAAATTAAAAAAATAAAGCGTCTGAGCATGGAAGCATAGGAAGATTAAGAAAGGGGACCAAGGGTAAGTTCTGCAATTTCAAGGAAATCTCTGCCACTCAGCCTGGAGACCGCAGGCAACTTGCATAATTTTTCTGAGCCTCGGTTTCTTCATTTTAAAACATGGGGATAATAATATTAAAATGGAATTATCGAAATGGAAAATTCTCAATAAGCTATAAAGCGCTAAACAAATAGCAGCTGCCATTTCTCGGAGCGGCTGGCATTTCCCAAGTGGACACATGTCCTAGAGAAGAAATGCAGTCTGGTCTGTGGGTCAAGATGAATTTGAGAACACAACAAAATTTGGTTCCAGAATTTGATTGCTTGAAGTCCTTTTATTTTATTTAATTTTTTGAAGCGCAGGCAGTGTTTGGGCCACACGCAGCTAAGCTTAGAACTCACTCTAGCCTCTCTGCTCAGGGATCACTCCTGGCAGTCTCAGGGGACAGTATGGGATGCCAGGGGTTGAACCAGGTTGGTCGCCTGTGAAGTGAGCACCCGAAGCTGCATTATGACTCCGGCTTCAGATTTCTTGGAGTCTTCTACTAGCTTCACCACTTGACAAAAGGTGGAGGGGGATGAAAGTGGGGAATCACATCACTTCTATGTGCCTATTTCTCAGGAAACTGGGAAGTTAATTGTACCAACCAAGCTGAGTTGTTGTCAACAATAAATGAGTTAATACAGATGGGGGGGGGGCAGGTGGAGCGATAGCACAGCGGGTAGGGCATTTGCCTTGCATGTGGCCAACCCGGGTTCGATTCCCAGTGTCCCATATGGTCTCCCGAGTACTGCCAGGGGTAACTCCTGAGTGCAGAGCCAGGAGTAACCCCTGTGCATCACCGGGGTGTGACCCCAAAAGAAAAAAATACAGATTGTGGGGACTGGAGCAATAGTACAGAAGATAGAGTGCTTGCTTGTACACAGCTGACCTGGATTCAATCCTCAGCACCACATATGGTCTAGTGAGACCCCCCCAACCACCCCGCCTCCCACCAAAACCCAAGTGATCCCTGAGCAAAGAACTAGGAGCAAGTCCTCAGCATGGTCCAGTATGGTGAAAACTAAAAACAAGCAATAAAAAAATAGACATTGTGACTGCTGCTATTTGCCTATGGATGGTAATGGTAATGGTAATGGTAATGGTAATGGTTTGGTAATGCCATTCATCCTTCCTATGGCACAACTTTGCTCTTGGTGGCAATGGTCTTAATCAACAAGACTTGGTTTGCTAGCTTCTCTTACAGTCAACATTAGTCATGTGACTCAGTTCTGGACAATGAACTAAGAGTAGAAATGTAGTAACTGAGACTTCCAGAAAAAAAAAATTTCTGATAAGATAGACAAGACTCGGGGCTGGAGCGATAGCACAGCGGGTAGGGCATTTGCCTTACACACAGCCAACATGGCTGACCCGGGTTCGATTCCTAGCATCCCATATGGTACCCTGAGCACTACCAGGAGTAATTCCTGAGTGCATGAGCCAGGAGTAACCCCTGAGCAACGCCGGGTGTGACCCAAAAAGCAAAAAAAAAAAAAAAAGATAGACAAGACTCAGCTACCCTGAGCCCTTTCTGTCACTCTACCTGGAACCAAAACACAATGCCTGGAGCA